CGCCAGCCTCCTCCGGCTCCGGCGTGCCTCCAGCATCCTCCGGCTCCGGCGTGCCTCTGGCTTCCCTGGCTCCCGCCGTCCTGCCCTGCTCTGTACATAGCCCAGCGCCCGGCTGCCATGGCACGTCCCGTGTGTGTTTGTACTTTTCTACCATGCGGTAACTTGTCGTGTCTCCGAGCTGGTCATTGCTGGCACAACTCCGCCTCGCGCCTGCCCGCACGCACGCATGCCAAACGAAGCGCTGCAGCTAACGAGCAATTAATAAACCGTATGCCACCACGACAGCCCGGTTCCAGCATCGTGTCCAACGGGGATGGCTCCCACGGGAACGCTGGGGCAGCAGGGGAATTGAGGGCTGGTGGTGGGGTGGCGGGGAGCCAGGACGCCTGGGTCCCCTCCCGGCTCGGGAGGAGGGAAGAGCAGGGGCAAGACGCCTCTAACCTGGGGCAGGAAGGCCAATGCTGTCCTCTGGGGTGGGCTGAAGCCTGTCGCTGGCCGGGTGCTGGTCCCTTCCCACCCAGAGGACCTCCCGCGCTGCCACCCATGCTCGGTGATGTTTGGGCAGTGCCCATCTCACCACCCTGGTGCTGGTGGGCACGTTGGCAGGGGGCTGCACCCGCCGGATGGGGCTGAGCCCGGGCACTGCCCAAGCACCCATCCCAGCCCCGCACCGGCGCCGGATCGGGTCCAGCACGGCTCTGTCCGCCCGGCGCGAAGGCAATGAGGAGCCGGCGTGGAGAAGGGGATCCGTTTAATAAAGGTTCACGCGACGGGTGCTCTGCGAAGCCAATGCTGCGGGTGCGGAGTGCCCGGGACGTGGGAGCGCTGCGTGCGTGCCTCGGCGTGTGCAGGGGCTCGCGTGCGTGTGCCCGACACGCGTGTGCACAGCCAGCGGCGTGTGCGCGCGCATGTGTGTGCATGCAAACTCCCATGGGCAAGGTGTACGTGAAGTCACACCCACGCGCGCGCGCACCCGCATGCCTGCGGGCACGTGGGCGTGCTCACGCAGATGTGCACAGATGTAGGTGCATGCACACGTCCATACACAAAATACGCGCACGCTCTCACACGTGTGCACGCGCACAAGCGTGCATGCACTGCCACGTGTGTGCAAGCTCACACACACACGCACAAACCCGTGGGTGCAGGCACACCCACACACATGTGCACGAGCCAAGCAGGGCTCAGCTCCTGCGTGTCCCCGGGGGGCACGTCGCTGCTCACGGCCCTCAGCATCACCAGGGGCTGCGAGTCCCGGCCAGGCTCATCCCCCCCCGAGCCCAGGGTGCAGTGATAGCAGGGTGCCCTTGAGGTGGCCCACGGGGGACACCCCAGGGCTGGCAGTGAAAGGGGACGGTCCTGGCGCTCAGCTGAGCGGGACGAAGCGTGGAGGAGGGAGGCCGGCGCAAGCTGTGCTCGAGGCTGTGCTGCCCAGTGTCCCCGGCCCCGGGGGGCCCGGTGGGGGGGGCGGAGGGGACAGCATGGGCAGCTCAGCTTCCCAGCCTGACCTCGTCCCCGAAGCCAGGCCCTTGGCCAGCCTGTATGCGGCGGTAAAAAAAATCGTCACAAACACCCAAAACAGCCGTCGAAATCTTAAAAAACAATCATTAAAAAAAATACGGCGGTTCGGTTCCTTCGGCCCGGCCACGGCCTCGCTCCTGCCTGGCTGGTTGGCACCTGGGGACAGAGAGGGAGGGCCAAGGTGTGGGGAGGAGAAACCATGGGGCTGTGGGGTGCTGGGGCAGCCCTGACCTGCCCAGCGCCATCCTACGCTGCTGGGTCAAGCCCCATTGTGGGGTGCTGGATAAAGCCCTGTCCTGGGCTATAGGGTCCAGTCCCAGTCTGGGCTGCTGGATCTGGCCCTGTCTTGGGTTGCTGGGTTCAACCTGAACCTGAGATCCTGGGTCTGGCCCCATACTTGGTTGCTGGATCCATCCCTGACCTGGAGTGCTGGGTTCAGTCCCAACCCGAGGTGTTGGGTTCAACCCCTAAGTGGGATGCTGGGTCTAGCCCTGACCTGGGGTGTTGGGTCCAGCTCCATCCTCACCCTATTCTCTGCCAGAGCCACGTCTTTGGTGCCACCCTCACCATGTGCCTCTTTGTCCCCTTCCCCCGGCCCCAGCACGGTGTCCACCATGGTCCCCTGTATGAACCCACGTGGAGCCCACCATTCCCCAGTATGTACCCACATGGAGCCCACCACACCCCAGTATGTACCCACATGGAGTCCATCATGCCCCAGTACGTACCTATTGGCTGGTGGCAGCGCCCTTGCCCACGGCCTCCTTCGGTGATATATGGGTGCCCTCGCCGGCCAGGCTTTGCCGTCCATCCCCTCGGGTGTCTGCGTGGGTGCCTGCCGCCTCCCCCTCTGTGGGTGTCACGGGGCCGGTAATGAGTGCGCTTGTCCCAGCCTTGTGCCCTCCGTGCAGGTCTGGTCTGGACTGGGTGGGCATCGCACCCTCCCAGCCTGGCCTGGCACCCGGGGACACCATCCCCGGCCGAGCCCGACCCTTGCGGGGTGTCTGTGCCCTCCCCGGCACCCGCTTCTCCAGCCGCAGCTCGGGGGAAGGGAACCAGCCCTGCATCTTGGGCAGAGTTAAGGGG